AGTAATAAATTATCTAATTGCAGTTTCCGTGTTTTTTCTTTGTCATTTCATGATGCCATACACTTTCCATGGCAACAACACAGATGAGCTATATACAGATATGAATCTCCTGTCAAATTGTTGATTGTTCTGTGTCACACAGAATTCGCACTTCCAGCGAGCGCTGGCAAGTGTCGTTCTGAAATTTAATAATTTAGCAAAAGGTTGTTTTTTCCTTATCCTTATTAAAAACGTGAAATACACTTGCTGGGAATTTCAGATGCTCATGTATAAATAACAAAGCAGCAAGTGATATAAATTTCTCAAAATATAATTCTCATACGAAAAAACATGAATACTTCTATAATATGTATATCTCCTCTGTGGCAACGATAAGTGTCCAACTGTTACACTATGTTGTTGCTTTGTATGTCACCAATGTACTCTGAAAATATTGTGGTGATTGGATGAAATGTCTAGAAGTTATGACCTTATATGTTCACAAATCCATTGAAAACCAAGCATTTTGGTACCACATTTCACACCCACCTGTAATACATTTATACAGTGTCGCTCTTCCACAAATTGGGCTAAAGTTCCAATATTCAAATTGCTGTAACTTCTGATTGCCTTGACCGATTTTGATGAAACAAACACCATTATGTTTTAAATACTACTTGCGGAGCCCCCTTGTAAATTTGAAATTTTGGCTGCTATCCCTAACTATACTACTGGGTGTCCCAAAAACAATTACTCCGGTTTGATTCATAATAACTTCTAAACAAGTAAAGCTTTTGCATCAAATAGAGGAAGGACTAACTTAGATTTTGATATATTACAGTTGTATTTCACTTAAAAATTCACGGCGATATTAATGTTTAAAATCGGGAGCATATTTCTGGATGTGTCTGAAATGGTACAATGTACCATTGGTTCAATCGACAATAGCTTTAAAGATAACCCAAAGCGATTTTGGTCCGCATTAAAGCAAAGATCAAAGTCTTGTAGCATTCCTGATCGTATCTCCATGCCTCTGTCACACACTACTGCATTCTTGAATCATCCCGACCAGTCAAACCTCCCTTCCAGACCAATTGCTACAAACCCTAACGAAATAGCTGACTTCTTCAATACCTACTTCGCCTCCGTATTTACATCCGAAAACCTCCCTGTTCAACATCCTAACAGGACAAATCCAGTTTTAACTGAACTCAAGGTAACTGAGTTAGAGGTAGAAACTTTACTTAACTCCCTTGATACTAACAAAGCAACCGGATCGGACAAAATCCCAGCGAGACTTCTAAAAGAAACCGCCTCAATAATCACTCCCTCCATCTGCAAACTATTCAACAAATCATTGCAACAAGGAACGGTGCCACAAGATTGGAAACTAGCGAACGTTGTTCCCGTTTATAAGAAAGGTGACAAAGAATATACAGAGAATTACAGGCCAATTTCTCTCCTGCCAATTATTTCGAAAGTTCTAGAACGGTACATTTTCATGAACATTCGACAACACTTTTCTGGGATAATTTATGATCACCAGCACGGATTCCTCCAAGGAAAATCTTGTGTGACTAATTTGTTAGAAGCATTAGATTACATCGGCGCCTGTCTGGACAAGGGAGGGCAGGTAGATATGGTATACCTTGACATGTCAAAAGCGTTTGACCGAATCAACCATAAGCGATTGACGCAGAAATTAGCAAATTCGGGTATTGGCGGTAACCTACTAAAATGGTTTCAATCGTACTTGACTGACCGTCGTCAACGTGTTACTGTACTTGGTGTAACATCGAAGTCACTACCAGTTTGTTCAGGCGTTCCACAGGGGTCAATACTCGGTCCTGCACTGTTTCTTCTTTACGTGAATGACCTACTCGAAGCACCCACGTCCAGTCGAGCTGCAATGTTTGCCGACGACACCAAGATATTCTCCGCAATTCAATCACAGAACGATGTTACCTCTCTACAAACTGATCTTGGAACCCTGGAACATTGGTCAACGGTATCTGGGCTATCATTCAACCAATCCAAGTGCAAACATCAAACGCTAACGCGGAAAAAAGCACCAGTTGCTTCCTCGTACAAGTTGGACAACTCAATCATATCCATTACTGACAACGAAAGAGACCTTGGCGTGTGGCTGTCATCAGATTTAACGTGGAAAAAACATGTGAACGAGCAGACAGCGAAAGCGAATAAGATTCTGGGATATGTTAGAAGGAACACTTTGTTTATTAAAAATACTGCAGCCAGACGAGCGTTATACCTGGCATTGGTTAGGTCGCACTTTGGCTACGCAACACAGGTTTGCTCACCACAGTCAGTGGAACTTATAAGTAAACTCGAAAGAACACAAAGACGTGCTACTAAATACATCTTAAATCTACCGTTTAGCACAGCTGTTGACTATAAATCGAGGTTACGGTCTTTAAATCTTCTTCCAGTAAGCTATTGGCACGAATACTTGGACCTTATCTTGTTTTTCAAAATCACACATGGTCTAGTAACGCTAAATCCCCAAGTGTCGCCAGCTATCTTCGCCACTCGTAGAACAACCCGATCAACCTCATCAAACAAACTGAAATATGTCATCCCTAAATGCAGAACTACCACCTACCAAAAATCTTTCCTCGTAAGAGCGTGCCGAGTTTGGAACTATCTTGCAGATGAACTGAACTTTACTAAGGATACTAGCATTTCTGTGTTTAAATCAGATCTGCTCAAGTATTACTTTACATCACTGAACATTAATTATGATCCTGAAAACTCTCGAACATTTAAGAGTATATGTCTGAAATGTAATTGTATTCGAAGCCCGTTACGTCCAATATTGTGTTGCAGTTGAACTGTAAATAAGATCACACCTGTAACGCATGTATGTGTATATATATGTGTAATGATAGTTTTGTGTCGGGCCCGCAGTAATTGGCTATTCGCTGTTGCGGTCACTCAGCCGTGGTCATGTACCTACTGTATTTCATTATGTACGTTTGTTTTTGTCCTGTCACGTAATGTACTGTTTCATCGGCAAAGTTTATAAATTATAAATTAAATATGCAAAAAACGGCATATCAAATATTAATCAAGATTTGCCCGATTGAAACATGTACTATTACCAGTAAATAAATGACACTTGACAAATTGTTTATTATGAAACAAAGTATTATTATCTACAAAATGCAAGCAAGATTTATTCGTCCGAAATCCATGCGTGTTCCTAGCATGAATATGTTTCCTTATTTCATGAGACCACTGCATTGCGAAGGATCGTCATGGATATCGTTTGTAGTTCTGAATTAGGGCATATGCTGTCACAATGGAATTGTGAAGCTCTTCTAACTTCTGCAAAGTTCTGAAATCGTGTTAAGAACACTCAAACTCTTTTGCCTTTTTTTAAACTTGTTAAGTTCAGAATAAACTGAGAATGAAATACAATCAAACCATACAACTCCTGTTCTCAAAACAGAACAGACACGCTGGATTTATAAACAATTTATTTAACAGATTTCAATACTCGAAAAAAAAGACTAAAACAGCCCCAAATAAAATGAAACTTTTAACGTTTTATGCTCGTCGTCGACTTCTCCAAAGTGTCCTTTGCGTGCCTAGTGCATAGGTAACCCAAAACTACTTTATGTCAATCAACAGGAAATTTAAACAAACGTCATAAACTTCCAAAACATCCCCCTCCCGAATACGAAGTGTTCGCTTTAATTAAGTTCAGTTCGTTTACTCTAGATTAATGTCTCAGGTTCTTCAATCATCGCTTTCAAGTGGGCACAATCGATGTACTGGACGTTCGTAAATACTTTCGCCAACTTTGACTTTGACCACGCGAATTAACCCGTCTTTCCCCAGGTGAACTTCAGTGATGCGCCCAAGGGCCATTCTCCACATCTAACTTTGGGATCCATGAGCAATACCACGTCTCTTTCTTTGATATTTCGTCGAGGATGATACCACTTTCCACGTGTGTTGAGGTTTGGCAGAAATTCTTTTCTCCAGTGGGCCCAGAACTGGCCAAGTAATTGCTGAATGCAACGCCACCGTTTCTGTGGATTGCAGGCTTCGTCGACGTCTAAAGCTTCTGGTGCATATTGTCCCCCGACCTGTTCTACGATGAAATGGTTCGGGGTCAGTGGAGTAAGGTCGTTCGCATCAGAACTAACATAGGTAATCGGACGAGAGTTAAGTTGACCTTCGGCTCCAACGATAGCTGTGTGAAGCTCTTCATCTGTAACACCTGCGTCGCCAAGGATTGCTCTCATCGCCTTCTTGCTACTCTTGCTCATCGCTTCGAACACCCCTCCAAAGTGCGACGCTGATGGGGGGGGGCGAACTTCCATTTGATGCTGTGATGTGGTCGCGTTGTTGCATTGATGATTTTGTCTTGGTTGAACTTTTCTATTAACAGCTCACATAATTCTCTTTCCGCACCGACAAAGTTCGTTCTGTTGTCCGATACGACGTACGTTGGCGTCCCCCTCCTTGCAGTCATCCGGATAAAAGCATTATTAATGAACGAATCCATGTCTAGAGAATACGCCATTTCAAGGTGTACTGTGCGAGTGTTGAGGCAGGTAAATAGGCGCAGATACCGTTTGGCTTTCGCTTTTCGTCGTCCTTGTTTTGTGAGGAAGGGACCTCCGTAGTCTACTCCCACACGGTCGAATGCTCGGAGGGTCAGTTTCAAACCTCCTTCTGGAAGCGGGGGCCATCATTTGTCCAACTGGTTTAGCTCGGAATTGACGTCGACACCCGCGAGAAGCTTCCACGACGTTTCACACCGCTAGTCGTCCTTTAACGATCCAAAACCTCATTTGTAACCCTGCTAGAAGGTGCTCTGTACCAGTGCCGTGTTTGGAGTGTTCGTAGGCGATAACAAGCCTGGTGATGGGGGTGATCTTTCGGAAGAAGAATTGGATGTTTGACATCGTAAGGTAACTCATTTGCATAACGTAAACAACCGTTTAGTCGCAACAGTCCGTCTTTATCTGTCTTCAGATTTAGTTGTGTTAACAATTGTTTCTCTCCATCTGGAAAGGACTCTGTGTTCTTCGTAGCCACACAGTCTCAGCTTCGGTGATATCCTCTGACGCGAGTGTTGCGCTTAGTACTCTCCTTTCCTTTGACAACTTGCAGTTCCTTGCAAACCGTAATATCCACACTGTAACACGGACCAGGCGTTGGAGACTAGAATACTTTGTGGGGTCCATAAAAACTTCGCTCGTGGTATCTTCATTGGGGCTCTGGGTGAGATGTGTTTTTGACACTCTTTTCCCTTTGCCATGCTCGAATTCATCAATGACTGTCGTTGGTAGTTTTTCTGACCTTGCTTTCAATGAGATCTTTGGCAGAGACACCTCTGGTTGGCAGATCAGAGGGATTAAGCTTTCCGGGAACATGCCTCCACTGCGTTGGGTCTGTCGTTCTCTGGATTTCACCCACTCGGTTGGCCACAAAAGGCTTAAAGCTGCGACTTTGGTTGAGAACCCAAAATAAAACGTTAGTCGAGTCCGTCCAAAAGGTAACAGTTGCAACTGAGAGAATTTGTGTAATGCTTTTCACCACTTGAGTTGACAGCACAGCTCCCATCAACTCCAGTCGAGGAATGGTTGTAGCTTTGATTGGGGGTACACAACTTTTAGCAGCAATGAGACAGGATGTAGGTGGTGTTGAAGGATAATGACTCATGAGATAGGCGGCCATTGCATATGCATTCTCAGAGGCATCAGAGAATACATGCAGGTCAGCCTCTTTCGGATTTGGTTGGCGTAAGCAGCGAGGGATCGTGAACTGCAATAGCTCCAGCGTTTCAGGTTTCGTTGAAAGGCTCTGGAGAATGAATTCGGTGACATGGCGAATCTTAGCCAAAGGTCCGGAGGACCAATGGTCTGGAGGACCAATGGTCCGGAGGACCAATGTCACCATGAATCTACAGGGATTCGGGGTTCTACCTCCCGGAAAATTTTGAAGTATCAGACCTCGCAAACGCCATTTCCTGACATTTCAGAGATAAGAAAATTCTATACAACTGAATTAATCTGGTGTTTTTTTTTAAGAATAAATTGCTACACGCAAGTCATTGTGTGACTGAAAGTCACGTTTTAAAAATTTTAATAATTATTTTCGTATTTTAACATGAAAAATTCACTACATAATAGTATATTCATTATAAGTATATTCATTATAAGTGTATACAGCACTTGTGCAAAACAAACTGTTCAGGGAAATGTTAAAATATTATGTATTTAACACGCATAATTATATGTCAAAACAGTGCGTGAAAATTAATAAGGTAATATTTTTCAGGTAAAACTAAAAATCATGGATTTTTGAGTTCTGACTGTGAAATCTCATTGATAATATCTTAATATAACTTAACTCATTAAGTCTCATTGCGCCCCCATGCGCCCTGGAATTGGGAACGGGGTAAGTCTCATTGCGCCCTCATGCGCCCTGGATGACACGTCAACTTCCGGGCACGATTGTCTAGCGCGTGTTTATCGGGTTGCCTAGCAACGGTCACGAGTATAAAGTGCAAAATTCGGGCTTTCAAACGATACATCATGCGACAAAATTGATCAAAAGGTTGCGAAGATTTTCGATTTTAAAACTCTATTTTTTTGCAAAACCTGTGACAACCGCAAATTGTCACAAGATAGGACTTTGCAGCAAGTTTTAAGGATGAAAAAGAAGAGGTTTTTAAAGAGTTTTACATATAAAATATATTGTAAAACATAAGGGAGTGTGCATATGTTTCAAGTCAAGTTCTTGTCCAAATCAAGTCGCGCGATTTTCAGCCAGAAAAACAGCAATTTCTTTCAATCTAACGGAAAAGTGAAGTGAGAAATCACAAGAAACATGAACACTAAATCCAAGTGAGTAGTTACGATTTTTTTGAGCGTGTTTTTGAATGAAAATACCTGGCATGTTTTCATGAAATACGATATAGCATTAAAGCAAGTTCAATCTAGTTTAAAACTAAGTTTTTAGAAGAACTTTTCGTGCATTTTATGGCATGATTTCGACTGTTTTCGTGACCCTACTGTTGGTCGTCTTGCTCAAGTTGTTATTTTAGCCGAAGTACTTTCAGAAGACAGTAGGTTCAACTTGTCATGTGCGTATATACATTTTTGGCAAGAAAAATTTCGAGTAAAACCGCATTAAAACTAAGTAGAATACTCTACAATGAATACTATATCTGTTTCTATAAATTTTGTCTCGAAACGAGCTCTCATTTCAGAGATAATGTGGTTTAAAAATCAGTGTATTGAATTATGCCGTTACTTGGCGCGTGCGAATTCTGAACCTTCATGA